GTGTAATGATGCTTAGTTAGAGCTATGATTTAATTGGACTTTCTGAGTTAGCCTAACAGATACAGGTGGTTGAGACAGTAAATGGTTTAGGTTATTCTGCCAATTGTTCCAATAAAAGATACAAAAAAGGCAAAAATGCGCTGGAAGTTACCTTCCCTTTTGTTAGATATGAGATTTACAGATGGTAAAAAATAAGAACAATGAAGTTTCATGCATTGTAGACCCATGAATTCTGCCTGTAGAAAAAGAGACTGGCCAGGCGGTGGTGGCGCATGCCTTTAATCCCAGTACTCGGGAGGCAGAGGCAGGTGGATCTCTGTGAGTTCAAGACCAGCCTGGTCTACAAAAGCTAGTTCCAGGACAGGCTCCAAAGCACAGAGAAACCCTGTCTGGAAAAACCAAAAAAAAAAAAAAAAAAAAAAAAAAAAGAGAGACTGATGATCAAAGAAAGCAATCATGTTCCTACACTCAAAGTTAGGTCTGCATTCCTTGGTCATGTAACTCAGAGTATTAATCACAGGCCCTGGTATGCACCTTGAAAAAACAAAGTTGTTAAAGGAAATTAAATGACCCTATAGTGTGTAAAGAGAAATAGGTGGTTAGTTGGCCAATTGTTAGATGTTTCTCTGGAATAGAATTAAGAATCCTACACTGAAACCACAAATAGCTACTAGCCAGTACAAAAGGACTTTTTAAAAACTTTGTTAATCAATTATAAAAGAGTCATTGCTTTGGTGTAATGATGTTATGGTGGGAAAATTAATTCAAAGAAAATGTTTAGCTACTTGTGGGCTTCTAAGAAAAACATGTAACTTCTGGTCTTAATGTGATTTCTTCTTATGTAAAGGTTTTAATTTGTTTTTGTAAAATATGTAATTTGTGGTTGTGAGGTAATCTTTTCTTTTGTAGAAATCTTTGTATTAGGAGGCATAAAAGGGGTAAGAGAAAACTACGAGATAGGAGAAAGAAAGATGTATAGAAAGAAAAACATCAGGGAAGAATGAAAGGGAACCATTGGGGAAGAAATAAAAGAATAATACCAGGAAAGGTATAGAAGAAGAACCACAGGGAAGAAGAAGAGAGAAAGAAAACATCAGGGAGGAAGAAAAGAAACGAGTAAGAACAACCAGCAGAGAGAAAAATAAAATGATTAAGCTTTGGCGCGCAGGATAAAGTGTGTCTGTCTAATTAGTAGTTTACCTACTTCACATCTTTCCGGTCTCTGACCTCCTGGGGGCTGGGCCTCCCAGCAGCAACACACATTTGTAACCCCCAGCACTGTGGGAGGAATCGACAGGAGGATGGCTGAGGTTTTCTGACCATAAGCCTACCTCTGGGTTCTGTGACAGACCCAGTGATAGAACAAGACACCCAATATAATCTTGGGCTTCTACATGTGCACTGGTGTGAACACATGCACATGGACATACAATACACACACACACACACACACACACACACACACACACACACACACGATGATGATGACAAAACCCCAAACTGGTGTTATTGCTGTAAGTTCTGCCAAAGAGGACAGTCAATGGTGCTGTGTCTGAATCACAAGGTGAAGAGATTTTTCTGGGTCACTGAGAAAGTCTTTGGCTACTGAGTAAAAGTTACCCCATCTTTAAACCCTAGGTCCCTGATCCAGGGGTTATAGAGAGAGAAAATCTGTCTTGAAGTGAGGGAAGGCAGTGGAAGGACGGAGTTTCCTTTGGTCCATAGATCTTTGAAGTCTTCATTGTGGCATCTTGAGTCCTGCCCTAGAGACAGCATGAACCACTGCACTCCTTAGAATGCACAAAGCAAGTCACTCTAGAGTCTAATTAGATTCCTGGGTATGTGCAGAATCAGAATGGCCAGGACAGAGAGCACTAAGGGGCTGTGGCTAGGAAGGAGTGAAGTAACAAAACTGGAAACATTACTACTCACCCAGGGAAACTAAAGGCTTCCAATATGCAAGGGCAGTCTCTTATTCAGTAGAACCAGCAAAAGAGCTGGGTGTGGTGGTGCACGCCTTTAATCCCAGCACTCTGGAGGCAGAGGCAAGTGGATCTCTGAGTTCGAGGCCAGCCTGGTCTACAGACTGAGTTCCAGGACAGCCATGGGTACACAGAGAAATCCTGTCTCAAAAAAGAACCAGTGGAGAAATATGTAGAAGCCAAACAAGTGTCCCAAGTCATTGCAGCAGCCTCTCAGAGTTCACATGGGGAGGTGACCTGGCTCAGTGATTAAGGGATACAGTTTGAGCCCCAGCTCTCCACTGATGTGGCCTAGGACTGTTTACCATTTGTCGACATAACCTTTGTAGTTCTTTACCTAGCTAATTTTACTTATTTGTAAAATGATTTTACTTTTTAATGGGAGGGGCAGCATGTGGGTGCAGATGCCAGAAGAGGGCATCAGATTTCCTGGAGCTGGAGTTACAGGTGGTTGTGAATGATGGACATGGGTGTTGGGAACCAGACTCTAATATGCAAGAGCAGCGCATGCTCCTAACTGCTGAGCTGTCTGTGCAACCCTTAATTGCTCTGGTGCTTGGCTTGTTTTTAAGAGTCTCATCCTGTAGCTGAGGATAGTCTGAAACTCACTATGTAGCCTAGGGTGGTCTCCAACTCATGGTTATCCTTCTGCTCCCACCTCCCAAATGTGGGATCACAAGGGTGAGACATCATGTTGGGCCATTAAAAACATGTTTTTAAGCTCAAGAACAATTTTCTTAGACAATAGAGTAGATAGGTTGAGAATCTGAACAAGGGCAGGAGGAAGGAGATGAGCAAGCGAGAAAGCCATGCCTATTGCAACGGAAGTCAACAGGTCAGCTCCATGACAAAAGGATGCTTTGGAGAAAGGGTAAGAAAGCCCAAATATATTTATTTAATTTTCTGTGTGGGAGGAAGAGGAAGCTCACCATTGTAGTTAATACTGAGGGTTTAAGAGGGTGGTAACATTTTTGTCAGGATCCAGGAATCCAAGATCCACTGGTTTTTGTCCCTGGGCAAGCGGTGAGTTGTCTGAACAGATCTAGCATAGTAGTATACACTCAGCTGCTTATCTCTCGATACTTACATTAACTTGATAAAAGGGTAAAATGTGCACTGGGAAGATGGCTTAGTTAATAAACTGCTTGCTGAGCAAGGATGAGGACCTGAGTTCAATGTCCCAAAACCAATGGGAAAAAAAAAAGAAAGGAAGGAAGGAAGGAAGGAAGTTAGGTGTGGTGCATAGAGCCCTTGGTCAGTTCAGTGAGAGACCCTGCCTCACATAATAAGCCGGAGAGTGACAGAGGAAGACACCTGATGTTGACCTCTGGCCTCCACATGCACAGACCTGCACACATGTGCATACACACACACACACACACACACACACACACACACAGAGAGAGAGAGAGAGAGAGAGAGAGAGAGAGAGAGGAAATAATACATTACGAGCCTTAGTCCACAAGCTCAGACTAGCAGAAATATAGCTTTTTTCCTCCAGGACTTTAAGCCCTTCTGCCTACTGGGTGGAAATTTAAATTTCTGAGCCTCCAGCTTTCTCAGTTTTCCCTAAGGTTGTGCCAAGACATGTAGGGTGAGGTGTCTCTGTGCTTCAGTCTACACATTATGAGCAGGGCATGTGCCAGATCTGACCTTGGGAATCTGCCCCCCCACTCTGGCACATCTTCTTCCATCAAATGCTATTCTGAGTTGTGGCGTGAGCTCCCTTCCCCTCTTACAAGCATTTATCTGAACCACAGGCTCTCTAGGTTTCCTTAAGGAAGCTGAGTGTTCCAATAGAGAGCAGCCTTCCTCAGAGATGGCTCTGCCTAACAGGAAGGAAAAGAGGAAACACCACAAGGAAAATCACAATTAGTTATTACCTCAAAAACATCCTGGAGCTGGCAGGGTAACTCATGCTCATAACCCTAGCACAGTGTAGATGGAGGCAGGAAGATCAGAATTTCAAGGTCATCCTCACTACATAGTTCAAGACCAGCTTGGTCTACATGCAACTGGCACAAAAAGCAAAATCCTGGAGAGAGAGAGAGAGAGAGAGAGAGAGAGAGAGAGAGAGAGAGAGAGAGAGAGTGAGTGTGTGTGTGTGTGTGTGTGTGTGTGTGTGTGTGTATTTTTTTTCTTTTGTATGTGTGGTAACATGGATGCAAATCTGTTAGGTCTCCAGAAGTCCATAGATCCAGGAGTGAGCTCAAGCTGGACTAGATAAAAGCCAGCCTGACCTGGAAAATGAAATCCATTGACATACATGTATGGTTGCACATCAAAGTCCATGCTGGCATCCAAGCTCCCTCAGTCCCTGTTCATAATATCTGTTACACATTTCAAATTCAGATCCCTACTTTCTTTGTACCTCCCTTGTCTTGCTGTTCTCACTCTTCCCTCTCTTGCTATTCTGTCTCTTGCTGTCTCCACTATGCTCTCCTGCTTCCCTAGCCCTGGCTATAACCAGTCTACTACTTTTTCTCTCTGCTCTGGACTCTTCCACATAGATGCCTCTGGATGTTTTCCCTCTCTTTGTTAATTCCACCTCGGGAGAATAAGACCACTACCACAATTTTTTAACCAAATTTGAAGCAGGTTTTATTAAATACTGGCCAAAATGATAGACACTGGCCAGGTCCATACCCAGGATTTCCACAGAACGGTTTCAGATTACATTAGTCAAATTACATTACAAAGGCAAAACCCACAAGGCTGTGTACTTCCTGCCTTCATACAACTGGGGGCAAGCATACATCCTGATGTACTTCCTGCCTACATGTGATTAAGCACATCCTGTACAGTTGGAGCAACCACCCTGTGTACAAAAGTGAAAACGTGGCTTATCACCTTAAATGAACAACAGTCCCCAGCATTCCAGGAAATTTTCTGTCCTCAGGCAAGTGGGGATAACAGATTAGAGGCATTTTTGTTTTATAGATCTCTTAAGCACAGTAACTTAAAGTTAAAATGCAACTTTAGCCCTCCCATCTACAATAAATCTTTCCTTAACAGGGTGGCCATTTCAGCAGTTGCTTTACTGCTGCCCTTGAATACAATATAGAAGTCAGAGGACAACTTGCTGCAAGTCTTTTTCTCCTTCTACCATGTGAGGCCCAGTGATTGAACTCAGGTCCTCAAGTGCCTTTACCAGGTGATCCCCAACATTCTGTATTTTAATGGATATGGCCATTAAAATGTTTGGACCTTAGGAACTGAGTCTTGTTAAAGCCACTGCATGGTTTTCTCTCTGCATTTGGCCAAGCCATTAGACAGAAAGAAAAAGGGCACTCAGGAAAGAGCTGGTTACCTCCACAAGGCCAGAATGTGGCGGTCAGGGCTTCAGGTAGAAACAGTGTCTATGCGAAGACTTCCATGCCTGAACTGAAGAGTTGATTGATGTTTATCCCATCTACCCAGAAGGTACAGGAAAGATCATGATGTTCTGTGTGAAAGAAAGAAAAAAAGAAAGAAGGGAGGGAGGGAGGGAGGGAGGGAGGGAGGGAGGGAAAAGGATGTCCTTCTGTATGCTGTGAATGTATGTTTCTCTTACTGGTTGATGAATAAAGCTGTTTTGGCCAATGGACAGACAGAATTTAGCCAGGCAGGAAATCCAAAAAGGGATAGAGAAAGGTAGTAGGTGGAGTCAGGGAGACGCCATGTAGCTGCCAAGGAAGCAAGAGGTCTGTGCATTGCTGGTAAGCCAAGCCCATATGGAGATACACAGAGTAATAGAAGTGGTTAATAATTAAGAGAGCGCTAGCCCATTAGAAGCCTGAGCAAGAAGTCAAACAGTTTGTAATCAATATAAGCCTCTGTGTATTTATTTGGGACTAAATGGCTTCAGGACCAGGCAGGACAGAAACTTCTGATATAGTAGAGGAGGAAGTTTATTAGAGATATGTGGGAGAGCATAGTCAAAGGCAGAGACATCTTGTAGAGTCCAGAGTGGACATGACCCTGAGCCATGTGGGGAGAGGAGGGAAGGGAAAGGAGAGGGGACAGAGGGGACCTGATGTAGCAGCCAGAAAGCTCAAAAGAGAGTAGATAAAAAGGAACAGGTCACCAAAATGGTTGCATTATATAGGGAAGGTCAGCCTAGCCCCTGGGATAGAGAAGTTTAGGGTAGAGGGTGGAGTGTGTCAGCCAGAAGGGCCCTGTAACAAGCAGGGTCTGAGGGATACAGGAGAACCTAGAGGCCACATCTGCTTTGATAGCTCAATGAATATCTCAGCCATTTGCCCCAGGTCTGAAACCTAACTGCTACTAAGATAAATAACAATGGCCATTAAAACATTCCAAGCCTCTGAAGTTCCAATTAATTATTTAATTAGCCTTGTAGACAATCAATGCAATGTGCAGCTTTGCTATGGGAACTTTCGAAGGTCCTGTGACCTACACTCCCGGCCTCTCTGAGTTGAGTCAACTTTGTCACATTTACTAGTGACAGCAGGTCTCTGTCAGGAATGTCCTCTGAGCCTCAGAGGAAATCAAAGGATCAAGAGAATGCTGGCCAGGCTGGGAACTGTGGAGGCAATGGCCTGGAGGCCCCACTCTTGGCACCTGTGTATGCTGTTTTTTTATGCTTGGAGAAGCATGAATCAACAAGACAGTCCTCAGATAATAAATAGCTTGGGCTCTGGGATTCAGGCTCTCAGTACACAATGTTCTGATCCCTGGACAGGGTCACCTGTCACCACATACTGAAGTACCCTAGTCAGTTTGTGGTGTTCTGTAAATGATCTTGCACAAGACAGTGATTTGAAGCAACACTTGATGAAAGAACACAATTTGGTGGAGCTACTCACTCATTGCCTCTGTGACAAAATTCATGGACAAGGGCCAACTTGTTCTTGGGCCCTCCAAATTCAACACACAGTGGGTCGGGAGAGTCAAGAAAGCAGGCAGAACAGGCCAGAGAGACTTCAAGCTTTGGCTCCATGTGAAATAGGGGCAGGCCAGTGAAGGAGATACCTAGTGTTGTCCAGGTTACCTAGGCTGCTTCAGTGAAGCCAAGGTCAATGTGGGGTGACAATCCAGCTAATTTGTCATTTTGCTCTTCCCAGCAGATGAGGACATAAATGGGTGGCTGGTGGTAAGGGCAGCAGAGGGAAGTCAGTTGGTTAGAATGGGAGTCAACAGGATGGTGGAGATGGACAAAAGCCTTGGGTGACCATGCTTCTGGTCTAAGCAGCCTGAAGTCAGGTGCCTACAAGAAGAGTTCTGCATGGGGCAGGCAAAGCCTACCTCTGGGTTTCCGGATGGACATGGGACAGGAGCTTGGAAGGGATGGTGGGTTGCAAACTCAAACTGGGAACTCCTAGTATGTAATAAGGAGAGTGTGCTGGGTTGTTTAGGCTGGCTCCTGGATGCCTCCCCAAAGGCTTTCCTTAATGCGGGGTCTCCCATTCTCCACTTGCTCCATTCCTTGCCCCTTACCTGGGTAAGGCTGGATTGGATCTGGGCTAAGTGCCTCAGGAGTAGCCATGTACCCTCATCTCCCTGAGGCAAAGAGCTGACTGAAGTCAGCAACCCCTGCAGCCTTCCCCACCACTGCAGGTCTAGGGAGTGGCAAGCAAATCCTGACACTGTAACTTTAAGAGGGGGAACCAGCTACCTTGAGGGCCTTTGAAAAGGAAATAGGGTTAAGTTGTGGGCAGCCACTGCTGTGGCTCTAACTACTGACAGCATGAAAACCTTCTGCCATTAAAACAGGAACATAGGCTGGCCCTGAAGCAAATATGGCCTGGGCTCAGGCCCTGGTCCTCTTCTCATCCCTACTGACTCTCTGTACCTCTGAAGGTGAGTGGGGAGGCAAGAGAAATGCTGGACCATGGGGGTAGAGACACAGCCACTGACCTTCCTGTCTTCATTCCTCAGGGAGTCCCAAGGTGTGGGTGCAAGTCCAGATGGAGGCCACCAAGCTCCTATCCCTCTCCCTCTCAATCCACTGTGGGGTCTTAGGAACTGACCTCATCTCTTTGGTAACAGTGAGCTGGGAAGGATCTGTTGATGCCCCAAGGACCAAATTAGCTGTGTTACATCCAGAACTTGGCACCCAGCTGTGGGTCCCTGACTCGAAGGCCGGCTGGGAAACCTCCAACAGTGTGTCTCTTACTCTGACCCTGGAACAATCCAAAGCAAGAAACTCCCTGGCCAACACTACATTCTGCTGCGAGTTTGTTACCTTTCCTCATGGCTCCAGGGTTGCCTGTGGAGACCTTCACAGCTCAGAGCCAGGTGTGTCTGGGGAGTGAGAGAGGCAGGGACACTGGCTGCCCATCTGACACCTTCCTCTGTTTCTAGGACTCTCTGCTCTGACTCTTCAAGGAGACCTGGCCAGGATCTTGGGAACCTTGGGGTTTCTCCTGCTTGGTTTCATCTTTGTACTCTATCTCCTGTGGCGGCAGAAGCGTTGGTGAGAACAGGTCCAGTAACATCCCCACACCACTGGGCAAGCTGCCCTCTCCCCCTGACTACTCCTCTTCTATCTCCCAGGTGTTTCAGTAAATCTCAACCATCTGCCACCAGCACCCAGGCACAGAGGCAAACTCAGGTGAGTCTTGAAGAATGGTGTCTGGAGCAGGGCACCAGGGGTCCCCCACAGCCTGCCAGCCAAGCATCCCTGACCACTCCCCACCATCCCTCTGTATGAGGCTATGGTCCACCCTGACCAGCACCTGCCCCAGTGCACACCACTCCCCCTCCCCACTGACGACCCACACCAACCAACCAACCCTCGGTCATGTCTCCCCAGCTTCCTCATGTGGCCTCTACACGCGGCAGCTTCGTCTCCACTGAAAATGGACTGTATGCTCTGGCAGGGAAGAGACTTCCCCACACGGTTCCCAACATCCTTGCTTCCACAGACTGTCTGGAGCATAGTAGCCTAGAAAGATGCTCGGGAGTTGAATGATAGACACCCTCGATTCCCTCTAGCTATTTGGGACATCGCTCTGCTGGTGTCTTCATCCTGGGCACCAGGCCTCTTCATGAATCTTGTTTTCTTTTTAGGCCTCTGATAAGACCACACCCTGCTAGCTAGGATGTGGTCAGTGTATGAGCGTGTATGGACACAGGTGTGAGTGGAGGAGTAGGATGAAGGTTGTTACACCCTGTTTTGCAAATAATAGCTTTAATAATGTCATTAAAGTGATCCTTCTGTTTGGGGCTTTAGCTTTATTTACACTTTGCTTCTTTAGGAGGTCAGAGACAGATTCAGTCCCTTGGGAAGTAGGACCAGGTTACAGCCAGAAGGGACTGAAACTGAGACCCAGGCTGAACCTGTGGTTGGTCCTTGCTGAGGGACACAAGGAGCAGGGTCTCCTGGGGCTTCAACCCCTGTTGTCTGAGCCGGCCTCCTCATGATCGACTCCCTGAATAGCTGGAGTGGAGCCCTCATACCCTCTTCCAGTCTCCATTATTGCTCCCCCAGTTCTTCTTTATGAGCCGAGAAGCAGACACTGCTCCCCAGTGGCCACTCAGAGGCAGGCAGAGAGGTCTCGCAGACAGAGATTGGACACAGGTCTACCCATCTCCAGTTGTTCCATCCAGCAACTGGGTTCCTCTGCTTGAGAAAAGCACCCTGGGCCTCCGTAGAGGCCCCTGCATCATCCACAGAGGAGACAAAATAAGGACCTCAGGTTTATTACTGGGCCACTCAAGCATGGTGAGCCACATAGCTTGATTACATGAGAGGCTCCCCTTGCTTGTGGGGTATAAAAGGAGGGAGATGGCAAGCCAGGAGACTGAGCTGTTGTTTGGACTGGCCCGTGTAGGCTTTGCCACCCTTGAACAGAGCCTGGGGTACAGAGAAGGTTGGGAAAGAGGCAGGAGGTCTTTTAGAGGAAAAAAAAAAGAAAAACTTAGCCTGAGCAGTCCTGGTGGAGCTGCCTTCCACCTGCACCCCTGGAATCCCTATGGGTGGTCTTGTCTCTACCAGGTGACAAGTGACCCTGCTGCTGAGGCCTCAGATGGTCCCTGCAGGGCCATAGCACAAGAAGCCAAGAAGTCATGGGTCAGGGGATATCCTCAAAGGATCTGTAAATGGGGAGAGTGACCTGGCATTCATAGCCCTGCCCTCCACTTGGATGGGTAACTTGGACCATCCCCAGCCGCTGACCAGAAGCTACCAACAGTTGTTCCTCTCCCTGTCTACTCACCTCTGGGAAGACCAGCAACTAGACCCCCAAGAATCCTCCACTGTCTCTTTCTGCCAGTCACCCCAAGCCTGGCTTCCTCAGTGCAGCTTCTGTTACCCTCAGCCTCACTCCCTTGACAACCCTGCTTGAGGGTATCCCTAGTCTCTCACCTTCCCCATTCCTGTTGCCTGCCCCCCTTCTCAACTTGCACCTAACCCCAGATGTTTGTACCCCAGCATAGCCTGACTGTCTCCTTCTGTCCCTCTCATGGTTCACTGCTCTCCTTGCTATCTAGTTCCATCACTGTCACATCCTGAGAAGCCTGTGCCCAAGACCTGTCTTCCTCAGCCCAAGGCCCGAACCAGGGACTAGCCTACAATAGCTGTGAGACTGAAGGGGTTGTAGGACCTCAAATCAATGGTTAGCTCTTGGGCCTCAAGCTATCACCTAGTGCATTGTTCTCAGGGTCTCAATTCCAGTCTTGTGGGGCCACCACATACTGGAAGTGGCTGGAAGACTGCCAACAATGACACAAGCTATAGGATATGAAAACCAAATCAGATCTGAGAGCTTGGCCATCAGGACCAAGGAGATGGCCCTAATCAGGATGCTGTGGAGGTGGGAGGGGTCTGATTGGATTAGTGGGACCCAACTCTTCCTTCCTATTGCCTGAGATTTTTCCAAAGTCCCATGAGGGAGTCAGTCTGTGACCACATCCCCCAAGCCCCCCAAACACAGGACATTATGTCTATTGGCCAAACTGAGGTTTCAGCCAAGCTCTGCAGAGCAGCAGTCAGTAGTACAATGGATTTCACAGATCCACTCTTTTAAAAAAAAGGATTTAGCATCTGTGAAATACATCAACTCACTCACAAGACAGGCCTGGCTGGAAAAAGTACAGGGCCTGAGAGTTACTAAGCCACAACTGCCATCCAGAAGAGTAAAGGGGACTGCACAGGACATGTGAAGAATTGAGACAAGGCAGAAGGTCAAAGTGGGAGAGCAGAAAACATTGTCAAGGCCAGGACAGTGTCTCCCAGCAGAGGGGGGGCGGGGGCTGGGCCGAAAGACAGGTGTGTCTATCTTGTCTGCGGCCACAAGGGAAGATCCACAATATAAGGAAAGAAGAATCTGCCTGATGCGGAAGTTGCTCGCCACAAGGCGATGGAGATGGGGAGGTCCCACCCTCAGTGATCCTCGGGAGGCCCTGGGGATTGGATCACTTTACCCTGAACCTTTCTGACTCCTAAGAACCCTCGGGGTCCCTCTACGGGGCCTCCTTGCCTTCCTGATGGCTCTGCTGTTCTCATTTCCTGGAGGTAATTGAGCCATGGCTTGGATCCTGCTTCTGCTGCTGCCAGCAGCATGTCTGCAAGCTGGTGAGTGGTGGGACCTTGCTAGCAGGAACTCTGACTTAGCCATGAGAGACCAGTGGGGTTGGGAAGAGCGGGCTGTCATGTGGACGGGTGTCTGTAGAGGAGCCAGCCTGTCCTCTGTACCCCAAGAGAGAGTTCACCCCTCGAAGTATGTCCAAGCCAACCTTTCCCTGTCTTTCCTGTCCCAAAGGGGACATAAGGACATATGGACAGTCTTGCCCTTTGTCTCACATCAGTCTATGGAAGATGGCTCAGGAATCTCTGGGTTGTCCTTTCCATCCCTGCAGTGGCTTTAGATTCTCCCTTTCCTTCCCAGGGAACTCAGCAGTATCCAATAGAGTAAATGTCTTGGGTGGGGGTCAACCAACTACCATGCCTCTCTGGTGTCCAGGGCAGCTCCATCGAGATCCCCTTCTCCTTCTGCTTCCCCTGGGAGCTGACAAAGGATCCTCAGATGAGGATTCTCTGGAGATGGAATCGCTTCCATGGGGAGTTTTTCTATAGTGCCACCCTGCCTTTTGTACAAGAGCATTTCAAGGACCTCAGAATCTTGAACTTGAGGCGAAGGAGCAGACTGTGTGCTTCTCCCAAGCTCATCTGAGCACACAGAGAAGGCATGAAGGAATGGCAGTCACCCGAGGGGACAAAGCTCACTATCTATGGTGAGCCCACTCAGCTCAGGCTCTGATGCCCCTGGCTTCCTTGCCCTGAAGCCACCTCTGGCTCCATACTCTGGCCCTTGTTTCCTACCTCTGCCTGTCCCCCAGGCCTCTGACATTATCTTTTCTCTCCCCTGCAATCATCCCCAAGTCTTAGCTGCTTCCTCTGACATTGCCCCTCACTCTGCCAGACTCAACTGCACTGCTCTTCCAAGTTCTCCCTCTTCTTGTTCCAAGCTGGCACTGTGACCCTGCTCTTAATGACAGCATCGCTCAGTCCTGAGTCTTTCCACAGTTGTGGTGGCAGAACAGGGCTGAACCTTCTTCTTTCTTCTGTGAACTATCTAATACCAGAAGCTTCCCAGGGATAACACACAAGGCAGGCCCTGTTGACCTTTACCCAGCACATAGCCTCATGGACGAACCCCATCCATCTCTCCACTCTTTCTGTCCACCACTTCCCTCAGCCCAGGCCCCAGATAAAACACCAAGATAAGCCGCTCCCAGATACCATCCTGATGGAAGTAAAGGGAAGTTGGAGAAGGGGCTAGTCATGTGGAGGCCTGCCATGTAGCGAGGATGCTTAAGCCATTGCCTCTGTTTTATGAGAGCTTTGCAGTGGCCATTGTCTCCCCCCCAGGGCAACAGCACCACCTACACTCTCCTCACCCTCTCCAGTCCAACTACGCCTGCACCTCCTGCCTATCTCCCTGTCCACAGGAGCCCCCAAGAAGAGGCTGCCTATTCCATCCTAAAAGCTTAATAAGAGGGAGTGGGTGATGCTCTTAAAGTCACCTATGCTGTGGTAGGGAGACTCCCAGCTTCCACCATACCCTTATCTACTGAAGAAACTCAAGAGTCAGTGAATCTGAATGTCACAAAGAATCTCCCCCAAACTACTAGTTCCCTCTTCAACTGTCTATGTTACTAAAAACAACAAAAAACAATAGTGCCCACAAAAGCTGGCTAACCCTAAGTAGAGAACTATATATCGCCTTCAACTTCCTTCAAAACCAAAGCAGACTCTGACAGACAGCTCCCACCCATCACCTCCCCGCTAGTACTTTTTCAAAGGACTTGGTATTTTTATTTTGTTTTTCTGATGTGGGTCCTCAAGTCATCCATGCTGGCCTTTAACACAAGATGTAGCCAAGGATGACCATGAATACCATATCATCCCATCTCTCCCGGCCACTGTAATTATAGATGCTCATTGCCACACCTGGCTTCCTCTAGTGCCTTCTCTTTTCCTCTTATTTTTTTTTCACAGACTGCCTCAGGCCAGGCAACCTAAATTCTCAAACTCTGGTAACCAGACTAGAAGCCAACGTCTTTCTCCAAGGGAACCATAACATTCGTTTGAGACCAGTGAGAGACTCAACACTCCCTATGGGTATTTGGCCAAGGATTAAGCACCTAAATGTTGTTGACAATGTTGATTTCTGTATAAGTCTGCAATAGGCCCCTTTGATATTTCTCCCTTTTTTAACAACCTGGCAAAGGCTCAGTCCCCCTTTGGAAACTGACCTGGCAAGTCACATGACCATTTGAGTAACAGCTTTGAGGCCCCTTCTCTGATGAACGAACCCTCCTGTAGATGACTGGCCAGACCATCATCATGGCAGCCTGCTTGTGTGAACACCTCAGGGATGCCCAGAGGAGACACCATCCCAGCTACCAAGTGACCACAGCTACTGCTGGGCGCAGCAAATAGGGATAAAAGACACCAATGAGTGATTCTTAACACTGGGGTTTTTCTGGTTCACTTTCCAGGTGCCTCTAAAAATGTAGGTAACCATTAAGGGACAAGAAGCACCTTTGCTGGAAGAGAACATAGCAAAAGGTGCTTTTTCCTGGACAACTGTTTTAAGCCATTATGTAGCTTCAGTTGGAGGTCTCATTGACAGATCAAAGCTGATAAAAGACTAAGAGCACATCACTTGCCTTCATGACCTCCAAAGTGTGATTTTGTTGTTGTTGTTTGGTTTTTTTGAAACAGGATTTCTCTGTGCAGCCTTGGCTGTCTTGGAACTCACTCTATAGACCAGGCTGGCATTGAACATAGAAATCTATCTACCTCTGCCTCCCAAGTGCTGGGATTAAAGGCATGTGACCAGCCCAAAGTTTGTGATTTTTAAAAAAATTAGACGCGAACAAAATTAGAGATTTTTCTTGGTGCTCCCTAGGTTTACCACTCTCCCTTTTCTTTGTCCATTATTCTGGCAATATCTCTGCACTTCGTCCATATCTCTGGCAATCTATCTGCACTTTGCAGAACCAAGGCGTGGCTATGGAGAAGAGTAGTAAAACTGGGGTAGGCAAGATGGCTCAATGGATAAAGAGTGCTTGCTGCCAAGCTAGATGACTCAGGTTTCACTCCCTGGGATCCACATAGTGGAAGGAAAGAAACGACTTCTGCAAAATGTCCTCTTACCCTTGTGGCTGAACAAAAAGTGCACAAGAGTGAGGCGATCTGATTCTTTCAGCAATGGCTGAGGCAAACATATTATGTCAAACGAGCAATGTATAAACTATATGGCAGATCACAAAAAAGGAGGCTCAAAATAAACATGGCATGCTTGTGGCCTTCTGACTTTTCTGTATTCAGCAAAGAATAGTCATGTTTCTCTTCATTAAACCCAGTACCCTTGCCCACCCTCTATGTGGAAGAGCTTCGAGGACGGGCCACTGCTTCTATCCAGTGTGTTTATTTTGGACTCCCCACCATACATCAGCTTAAGTTTTCCTTGGTCTTCAAACCACTCCCACTGGGGCTGGGAAGATGGCTGAGCTGTGAAAAGAGCTTGCTGCTCTTCCAGAGGACCCAGATTCAATTCCCAGCACCCACAGAGTGGCTCTCAACTGTCTGTTACTCTAGTTTCAGGAGATCCAGTGGCCTCTTCTGGCCTCCACGGGCAGCAGGCACGCATGTGGTGTACAGATACATATGGAGGTGAAACACCCCCACACACAGAATAAAAAACAAATGAGGTCAAAATTTTATAAAATACATTTTTAAAAATTAAAAAAACCTGTGATACTTGCATTCTCCAAAGGCACCACATCTGCCTATCCTGGGCTTCCATGTGCCCACACATCTGGAATTTTCTCTTGTAAGATTTCCTTATATTTATTTTAAACATATTTTATTGTATGTGTATGAGTGTTTTGCCAGAACGTATATATGTGTACTGCATATGTGTTGAGCCTGCAAAAGCTCGATGAAGGCATTGGATCCCCTAGAACAGGAGTTAAAGGTGGTTGTGAGCCAGCCAGCACTCTCCCATCCTGTAAGATTTCTTCACAAATCTACATGTAAGGCTGTGACCTGGCTGTTACCCTCAGGCAACAAAATACATCTGCTTCTTCCAGCTGTGTTCACTTTTAGTACATTGACAAGAACAGCTCCATTTTATGTCTGACCATGTTCACACGTTTTTTTTTATAGTATCCTGTCATTTTCCAGTGTTGTTCTCGGCCACCCCATAGGTTGGAGCTGATGGTCCCTTGTTGTCTGAATGGATCTGCCTTGAGTGTCGGTTTAATCTGGCCCAAGGTCAGAAAGGAAAATGTCAAAACCTTGGTTTGTAAGCTACCTAAAGTGAGTGCTAGGAAGCAAACTCCAGGGCTCTCCAAGAGCAATACAAATTCATGACCTGTTTTCTGTCTCTCTGTCCGGTATGTATCTACTTTTATTTTGTGTGGCCTTCAAACCTGTGGATGTACTTGCGCAAACTATGGTGCTCATGTGGAAGTCAGAGGACAGCTTCATGGAGCCAGTTCTCTCGTCCTACCCTGCGGGCAGGTCCCTGGAACCAGACACAGCATCTGGCTTTGCAGCAAAGACGTTTGTGGGTTGTTTTTGTTTTATGCAAAGCAGTGGCATAAGATACACACACACACACACACACACACACACACACACACGCACGCACGCACGCGTGCGCGCGCGCACGCGAGAGAGAGAGAGAGAGAGAGAGAGAGAGAGAGAGAGACCCCACTACTTTGACTCCTGTGGAGAGAAGGCTGGGTGTGCTGGGGTGAGGGGAGAGTGAGGGACAAGGGCACATTTGGGAGGTTCCTGCAATGCTTCAGTTAGAAAAGAGTGTGCTGCAAGCCTGGATGGGAGAATGAGAAAGAGCAGTAAATGGATTAAAGACCTCTGTTGCTGGCAGAGCACTTCTGGCTGCCAACAGAAAGGATAAGAATGGCCTCAGGACACCCTGGGAGCAGATGCTATGCCTTCAGATGTCCCCATTTTTTGATCATCAAAAACTCCTTCCTCCCATATGGCTGCAGGTGACTCCTGGGCCTTGTTTCTCATGTTGGGGAAATAGCATTAACAGTTACAAAGCTGTGTACCTAATGTCCCTGACAAGCCCATCCTAGGTGAAGAGGAGCTGTGGGTCCCAGAGCCTGCTCTGTGATGGTTCCAGAGGACAAGCACCTGGCCCATGGCAACCCTGTGAGCTTACTTCTTTGGATGACTTGGCAATCAGGTGACTTCTCACATCCTGCAGACAGTAGGAAAAAGCCAGATAGACACTAGCGATGGCATCCCCTGAAGACCCTGCTTGGGCTTGAGATGTAGTTCAGCTGGTACAATGCTTGTCTAGCATGCATGAAGCTGTGGGGTGGAGCCCCAGCATCACATACACTGGGTCTGGTGGTGCATGCTTGTACCCAGCACAGGGGAAATAGGGTGTTCATGGTCATCCTCAGCTACATAGCCTGAGCTAGGCAAGACCTCCATCTACAAAACAAACCAGCTAAAGGCTCTGCAGACAAAGGAAATGGGTCACCTGCTCCCTCTCCTAAGTAAACTGCATTCAAAACCAATGTATCCCAAAGACCCTGTGCCTTCAGGTCCTCAGGGAACAATGAACATAACTGTGTCAGCAGAGCCTGTAGAACTAAGAGAGAAGTCACAGGAGTTCAGAGCCTGGCCGGTTAAGGGATCTGAGGACCATGGGGACAGTGAGGAAGGCCATCTGAAAAAGCAGATATGAGAGAGGGTGGGCTGCTTAACAGCCTGCAGGGAGGCACGGGGAAGGCCATCATGTGTCACTCAGGGAGACTGATGCCACTTCCTCTGGTACAATCATGTCTTCCTGCCCTTCGGAGAACTGATGGAGCCATGCCATGGGGAGTAGTGGGATGACCCTCCTACAGAACCAGCCCTGAGGCCACCACAGCCTCTGGCCCCACCTCTCACACATCCACCCTAGTCACAGGTCAGCTGTGTCCACTCTCAGAGATGTCCCTGTCAATATGTCAATATGTCAATATGTAATGAGTGACTGAGCCTTCTTTACCTATGGAATGGCTTCAGCTAGAGTCATCTCTGGAGCTATATGGAAGGTACCACCTGTCGCCGGCCCTTGAGGTAAGGCTGAGTGATGCCTTGGGACCAGGATGATACCTCTGTGCTGAACAGAAGCCTACAAGGACTTAGTGAGACTGGAGTCCCCTGCTATTTGATGCTGGTGTGGGAGGGCAGCAAGGCTCCTGCAGAAACAGGATAAGCTTTAGAACCCATGTCCATGTGAGGGGGACTGTCACCTGGGAAATCTAGGGACATTGTGAAATGGGCAGGGCAGGGCAGGGCAGTGATGGTCCACCATGACTTGGTTCAGCCTGAGAATTATATGGGGTTGCTGAGGAACGGGAAGGGGTCAAAGAGCAGAATAAGAAACCACGTTCTAGAGTTGGGCACTGAGGGAGCGTGCACGCCAGCACCCCCACCATCAGCTTCTCTTAGCTGAGCATGGGATTCAGCTGGTCAGAGACCTGGGTCAGCATTTCTTTCCCTGAAAGGCAGTGCTGGTCCAGGCAGCCTCTTCCTCGGCATTAGAGAGGCTGAGACACAAGGAGAACCAGCAAGATAGGAGGAGGTATGAGAGAGGGGGGAGGGGAGGCGGGAAAGGAAGGGATGGAGAGGGGGACATGGTATATATGAAGGAATAGGTAGTCAGGAGGTCAAGCTGGAAGAGAGGAGAGCCCAGCAGGCAGAGGTCAACTCAAAAAATGGGGACTGTGTCCAAGGGCTCAGCCATTTGTGGCTGACCACAAGGGTGGATCTTCTGTAACATTGGAAAGAAGAAGCCAGATGATAAAGGAAGTTTCTGGTCATAAGGAGGTGGAGATGCGGAGGTCCTGCCCCTGCTCAGTCCTCCATGTGAGAAGGCCATTTAACCACTGTTCTCTGGGCTCCTGAGCACCCTGGTGTCTCTCCTGCACTCCTTCCTGATGGCTCTGCTGCTCTCAATTCCAGGAGGGATTCGAACATTGGATTGGATCCTGCTTCTGCTGCTTCCAGCAGCATGTCTGCAAGCTGGTGAGTGGTAGGACTTTGCTATTAGGGACTCTGCCTTAACCACAGGAGAGACCAGTGGGTCTGGGAAGAGCAGAATATCATGTGGACAGGTGTCTGCTAGAGAAGCCACCCTGTCCTCTGTGACCCAAGAGAGCCCATCCTCAGAGCTGGTCCAGCCCAACCTTCCCCTGTCTTTCCTGTTCACTTTCCAGAGTGACAGTCCTGCCCTCTGTCATACACCCGCCTGTAGGTGAAGGTTCATGTGGTCTGGGTGGTTCTTTTCATCCCTGTAGTGACTTCAGATTCTCCCCATCCTTCCAGGGAACTCAGCAGGATCCAACAGAGAAAGACCCTTTGGGGTCAATCAACCAGCACAACTCTCTGGTGTCCAGGGCGGCTCCATCGAGATCCCCTTCTCCTTCTACTTCCCCTGGGAGTTGGCCAAGGATCCACAGATGAGGATTCTCTGGAAATGGAAGCACTTCCATGGAGATTTTATCTACATCTCCTCCTTGGGTTTCATACATGAGCATTTCAAAGACCGGCTCATCCTGAACTGGACACAGCCTCAGACATCCGGAGTCCTCAGAATCCTGGACTTGAAGGAGAAGGACCAGACAGTGTACTTCTGTCGAGTTCATCTGATCACAAGAGGAGGCACAGAGAGTTGGCAGTCAATTGATGGGACCAACCTCACTATCACACATGGTGAGCCACCCTGACTCTGACTTTGATGGCTCTGGCTTTCTTGTCCCCTAGATGTCACCTCAGGCCACACCTCTGAGCTTTCTTTCATATTCATTTCCCTTGTCTCTGCCAACAGGATCTTTCCTTGTAGTCGTGACAAGCCTTTGCTGTCTCCTCTGGCCTTGTCTGTCACTCTCTGCTCAGACAGAACCACTACCCCACTCTCTAGGCCTTAGCACCTGCTGTCTCTACCCCCCCCAGATCATCCCATTTTATTCCAAACTAACTCTGCAGTGTAGGGCCTGTGGAGACTAGAAGACGGCCTCATGGGTCATTCTATTGATTTTATGAGACAGGATCTCTCACTGGCTTCAAGATTGCCAGCTAGGCTAAGGTGTATGACCAGTGAGTCCCAGGGACACACGGTCTCCACCTCCCCAGTACTGGGATTACAACTCACTCATCTCTGTGTGGAACTCAGTATATTCATCTGGCTGACTTTATCTCACAGAGAGCTGCCTGCCTCTCTTTCTAGGGCTAAGATCACACAGCTCTTTATATGGACACTGGGGAGCAATCTCAGGTTCTAAGTTCTGAGGAGCAACCACTATGGGGACTGGAACATCTCTATATGCTACACACGTCTATGACAAACCAACTGTATTTCTACTACTTAGTTGTCTGTGACTATTGAAAATCTGAGGACACACCACCAGGACAGGGAGAGTGTGCATTGGAGCATGCTCTCATAGAGTCTCAGCCTTTGTTCCCCTCTCTGTGTGACTTCTAAGAGCTGTTCCCTATCCCACATCCCACAGAGGAGACAAGGTGTGACTCTCACCCCATCCCTCCCCCATCCAGGGAGGATCTGCTAACTCTCATCTCTCTCCAACTGTCAGCACCACCATACAGAGCCCCTCCATTGTCACCTCTGCAGTCACCACAGTTGGCCTGGAGGACACAGAGGGCCAGAGGAACCCTTCACTTGTGAACCTGGGAGGCACGGTCGGGGTGGTGGTGGGCACGGCTGTGCTCATAACCCCCGTCTGTGTGTTGATGGTCGTCCTCTGCTGGAAGCAAAGGTAAGTGATCCAGGACAGGCCCTCACCTGAGCTTCCCCTCTGAGTTTTCTCAGCTGTGGGGGATGGAGAAGGATGAGCTTTTGTAGGGAGAAGTAAAGAGACCAGGAGGACAGGAAGGTGGCTGAACTCAACACAGACTCAACTGGCAACTCCTGTCCTTAGAGAGCAGCTGATCCAGGGCGATGGACACAGAGCCTGCTCCTAGGAAATCAGGGGCACACTTGGGTGCCTCAGTGCCTGCAGGTCAATGCCCAAGGCTGTCCCCTGCCTAACACACGTGTTTGTGCATATGCAAATACACACATTCACACACATTTTTTAAAATAAATTTTAAAAAATTGTGGAAACACTAAGAAATGAAAGATATTTGCGTAGTGGAAAACTTTGTACTGTAAGTTCTTACAATGCAATATGCTATAAAAATTCAAAGGCAATCCCTATTCAAATCTCAATTGCATTTTGTAGAGGTAAATGACTTGTTTTCTAAACTCCATAAGGACTCTAAAACACATACAGGGACAGAGGAAGGGACCCCCTAATCCAAGTATTGGGAAGTATAGAGACTAGAATTAAGAGTTCAAGGTTGTCTGCAGTTACACAGCAAGTTGAAGGCCAACCTAGGTTCAATAAGACCTTGCACACAAAAAACAAGAGCCAAGTGATGGGTTCAGAGTAGATTCTGATTCACAGTGAGTAGAAGAAATAGGGGCAAGAACAAGATGCATAGAAAGTGGAGTGTAATGGGAAAACAGACTTGAACATATAGCCAATGGTTTCAGGAGGGCTCAGCCCCGCCATGAGGGAAGAAGAGGAACTGAGAGATGGGACAGGAGCAGCCTCAGACACAGCAGAAGTCTGAAAGGATTTGAACCCTGAGGCTGAACCTGCAGGGTGGCTGCAGCCTGCACTCACAGGGAAAGCAGGAGAGCCAGTTTCCGGGGAGACTAAAGGGAACATGGAGAGTGCAGAGCAGGGAAAGCAGGGAGTTCAAGACAGGGGGAAGGAAGTAAAGGGAGAGGGCAAGGACAAGGGGCCATGGACCAGGAGAGCTGTCCCCTGATTAGCTGTGCTGAGCAGGACAGCTGAGGACTGGCCTGAGGTCCTGGTGACTGTCATCCTGTCCCTGAATGGCTGCTGCAGAGCTGTTTGCTGCCCTGGGCCCCTAAAGTTGTCTGACACAGAGAACAGCTGAGAGACAGAGGGAGGATCAGCATGTCTGCCACACTGACACTGTTTCTTCTCCTACAGGCCAGCAGACTGAAGCCCAGACCCCAGACAGGGGGGCGCCTGTCATCCCAGGGAACAGGTGAGGGGCTGCTTGGGAAAGTTTGTACTGAGAGGAGCGCAAGGGAGTAGAGAGATGATTCAGTCAGAAAACCCTCACACACGGGCAGGAGGACCTGAACTCCATCTGGAAATCTCACATTATAAGCAAGGCAGGCAGCAGGAATGGGTACCTCAGGCCTAGAAAAGCAGGAGCAGAGCAGAGTCATAGGGCTGTCTGTCCAGCTGCTCCAGCCTAAATGGTGAGTTCCAAATCAGTGAGAGCCTATGTCATAAATAAAGAAGAATGGATTCCCCAAGGAGATAAATCCTGCTAATAACATTTTCTAATTTTTATTTAAATGAAGTATTTTAAAATTACATATTGATGAACAAAAATAGTGTGGGCCATGGAGATACCTCAGTGGGAAATGGTGCCTGCTGCCTAGCCCAATAACCTGGGTGTGATTCCTGGGAACCCAAATGATACAAGGAGAAAACTGGAAAATTGTCCTCTCCCTCTCAGGGTCACCCACAGGCAGCAGCTAAGACATTGTCTGTTAGTCCCCTGCTCACAGACTCCAGGGACCAGGGAAGTGAGTTTCCTTGAAAGCATGGTTTGCTGGCCACACATACTGCATCCCATCCCCTTCCCTGCCTCCTGACAGAAGACAGAGAGCATGGCTGCAGCCTGTCCTGTCCTGTCCTTGGGCAGGTACAAGAAGAGAAGACACACTCCCGACATGTGGGCACCGATGTCCTGTCCTGGGAACCCAGGTCATGCTGTCTACTCTGGTCCTGAGAGACCAAGGTGCTGTTGTCTGTCTGTGGAAGTGATAACACTTTTTAATAAATGTCTTACTCCCAGCATCCATCTCAGCGTGGCTCTTGTCCTCCCCACATCTATGTGAGACCTCTTAGAGAGTAGCAGACTGTGTCCAGGAGCAGGGACACAGAGAGAGTCAGGTACTGTATTCCGCACAGAGAACCACTGCATGAGGATCCTGGGTCCTCTCTCCCTTCTCCCTGGTCACTGTCATGTCACCCACAGCCCCTGACCCCTCCATGCTCTCCTCAGGTGACAGACCATGGCTTGCTTTCCTCACAGGCCATCTACAAGCAGTTGCTTTCCTTGCTCCCGCCATGTTGATATTCTGACCTCTGGTGTCTCCCCTAGGACAAGACATCCTTCCCAAGGCCAGTCTGTCTTCACATTTGATTCTCAGCAGGTCAGCTCTACCAAGAGCCTCTGGGACATAAGGACAGCATCCAGAATGACCAATAGGAATGGAACCAGGCTGCTCTCACAGCCAGAAGAGGTGCATGGACATTGTGTTTGTTTGACTGTAATTGGTCCACATGAGCGCATAGGGAGTGGCCCCACAGGAGGCATAACATTGTTGGCATAGATGTGGCCTTGTTGGAGGAAGTGTGTCACTTTAGGAATGGGGATTGAAGTCTCCTATGCTCAGTCTCTGCCCAGGTTAGACTCTGTTCACTTCCTCTGTCCTGCGGATCAAGAGCTAGGTCTCTCAGATCCTTCTCCAACACTATGTCTGCCATGACCCACCATGATGACAATGGACTAAACCTCTGAAACTGTAAGCCAGTTCCAATTAAATCTTTTCCTTTGTAAAAGTTGTCATGATCATGGTGTCTCTTCACAGCAATAGAAGCCCTAAGACAGAGATGCTTGAGATCCACCAATCACATCCTGCATAGATGCAGCTCTTAATCTACCAATGACAATCTTCCAATGTGGATCAATCAAGGGTCTGTGCAGAGTCATTGAAGGAATTGCCCCATGCCCGTGAGACTAGCTGTAAAATAGAGGACTCATGGAGAAATCACCAAGGATTCTCATGGCTAAAGTGAGGTTTCCTGGGGCAGCTGTGAGATGTCCGATGTGGTGTCACTGGATCCAAGACACCTGAGGCTGAACTCAGCAGCAGCTGTGGTCACAGGGATCTTGGCAGCTGAGGTGGTGTCTCCTCTGAACAACTCTGAGGTGTTCCAAATCAGACTGCCATGATGGCAGTCTGTCCAGGCATCTAAAGAAGGGTCCGTTCATCATCTCCTCCCTCCAGGCAGCTGGGTACAGAGAAGGGACCTCATGGGTGGAACTCAAACGGTCATGGGACTTGTCGTGTCAGTTTCCATTGTTCAAAGGGGAGGAACAACAAGGGGGCACAAGGCAAAGACTCACACAGAACCAACATTCTCAACAGTTAGGTCAAATCTCCTCAGAAGAAGGAACATTATGGTCTGATTGCAGAGCATACCTGGGTTCTAGTCTGGCTACCAGAATTACGAATTTGTGTCCCCTGGCCTGAGGCAGTCAAAGAAGTACTAGAGGAAGTCAGGCATTGTGACAGATGCCTGTAGTCTCAATGATTGACAGTAGAGATGGTAAGACTATGAATTGGAGACAATCATTAGTACATATTGAGTTTGAGGCCAACCTAGACTACATGAGACATTGTCTTAAAACCAAACAAAAGACAAAGCTCACCAAACTCCAAACTCTACAGAGAGGCCATAGAGGCTGCTCATCTGTTACTTCACTTTGGTTGGAGACAGAGAACTTAAAGACATCACAAGTTTTCCCATTAGATTCATTTAAACAAATTTTGTGACTATTAATATTTTCTTTTAAATAATATGTATAATGTGAAGAGGAAATTGGGAGTTTCTCCATTTCTGTGACCTCAACACAATGAAATGTGAATTTCTGCCTCTGACCTTGGCTATCTGCAGAGGCTGGGAGACTTCATACCAGAGGAGCAGGTGACTGAGCTGGTCACCCAGCCCCACCTACTGGACACAGTACAGAGTCTCTTTTGGGGCTCCCCTGGGCAGTGGTGCAAGGGGTGCTCAGGCTGGATTGGGCAGCACATGAAGGAGATGAAAATGATGATGTCATCCTAGGGGAGAAAGAGGAGGTCAGATGCTGTTGGGGCAACCTTGATATTGTGAAGCTGCAGTTGCAGCCTGAGTGTCCTGTCTACACCACAGGCCACCATCCTTCCACCCTCTCTCTCTCCCTCTCTCTAGCATCTCCTCCACTTTCTTTAGGAACCATTCTTGGTGGGTTACTCTGGGGTCTTTATGTTGTCAAGGGGAGAAAGAATTCAAGGAGTGGGAGAGTAGGTGGTGTGACAGGAGGGGTGGACAGATGGACAGTTTTCATATGAGGTTATCTGCTTCATCAGGACCATCAGGGCTTCCACTGTGGGTTTTTTGATGGAAGAATCTGTAATTAGACAGTTCAGACAGAAACAGGAAGGGTTGAGCCTCTTCTCTGCCACCACTGTCTTGGGAAAACACACTGGGTATAAAATCAGAGTCTGAATGCTGGGGATGCTATCAGGAACTGGAGTCCGAGGCGTCACAGAGACTGGTCTGGGAAGACCATGTTTACTCATGATGATGACTTGATATAAACGTGGAGGCAGATCAGCTGTGAAAGGTGCCTTGCATGACTGTGTGTGTCTATGTGGAGAAGCATGTGTGTGCAAGTGTGTGCTCGTTGCTCTGGAGACAAGAGGGCAACCTCAGACATAACTACTACTCAGGACACAATGCCCCTTGGGGGTTTTGGGGGGTTTTGTAGATTGTTGTTGGTTGGTTTGGCTTTTGTTTGTTTATTTGATTGCTTTTACTTTTTGAGATATCAGGTCTAACTATATAGCTCCTGTTGTCCTGGAACTGTATAGGTAGACCAAGCTAGCCTCAAACTCAAAAAGATCCATTTGCCTCTCCTTCCTACCAGAAACTAGAATTAAAGTCATGCACCATGATGCCTAGCCCATCTTAGTTTTTAAATCTTAAAATTACACAAACTTATTCTGTAGGTGCAGGGCATACTCATGATACAGCCTGAGCAGCAGCAGTTCTAACCGTGCAGTCTGTTACCCTCCATGGTCACATGTATACAAAAGCCCATGTGTGCACACCACAGCCTCAGGCTGCTCCTCCACAGAAAGTGCCCCTCCCCTGTGACAGCATCATGGCTGCAGGGCCCAGTCACTGCTATTGGGGGAAATCTGGTTGTCACTGCAGGAGACTGATAACAGCATCTTGGACAGAAATCATCCCACAGCAGTGTACCTGTGGGGAGTCAACTGAGTCCTGGACTTGAAACTAAAACAGAGGCCATGACTTGTGTTTAAGGGGCCAGCAGGTGGCCGCAGTGAGGCTGAGCACAAGGGGCAGCTGGGATCCTGTGGACGCACAGAGCCTGTTGGGTAAATGCTGGGGTCCAAGGCTGACATGTGGCAGCCTGATCAGGTCCAGCCCTTCCTTGAGAGACTTACCAATCAGGTGGCCTTTACCCACAGACCCCAGACAGTAGGGCAAGGCCAGATGAAGCCTGGAAGTGGGTACTCGTGACAAGGAGGGCCAACCTTAATCTGGTAGAGTCCTTACCTGCCTGGCACACACAGAATCTTAGGCTCTATCTCTAGCAGTAGACTAAGGACACAATGGGCCACACCTGTGACTCCTGTAATTAGGAGAGCAAACAGGAGGATCAGTAGGAGTTCCAGGTCATTCTTGGCTACATGACAAGTTCAACACCCAGCCTCAGCTACTTGAGACACCATCCAATAAAAGAGGGGCTCTCTGACAGGTTAAATAGGCCCTGTCCCCTGTCCTGATTGACTGTCCATCTGTGGTCAACTCATCCCAAAGGTGTTGTTCTTTTGTTTAAGCTTAACAGATAAGTGTGCTAGATGGGTCAGGAACAGAGAGTTTATTCCAGGTGGGGGAGGGGGAGAGACAGGAAGAAGGTAAGAGAGAGAGAAGGGAGACAAGAATGAGAAAGAGGAGAGGACCATGTGGGGGTGGTCACTTAAAAAGGGAAGCTCACAAATGTGCACTGAGTCCTTATGCAGCCCCGTAACGAGTGACATAGTCATGATGTATCCACACAACACAGGACCCTTTGAGCTGCCTGAGTATCTGCCTGAATGCTGATATGAGTGTCCTACCCATTGT